ATCAGTATATTTATAAATTTTTTTATTGTAATAAAATTTTATGAAATTACATATTAGTATTATGGATATTTACATACATTTATGGAATATTTATTATTATCATCGTTATCGTTGTCGTTGTTGTTATTCACATGAACGTATAAATAAGATTATAATAAAAATTGTTACAATTTTTGATGAAATTAGAAATTTGAAATTATCATTAGAAACAAGTAAGTCATATGATTGTAATCTTCTTTTGATTAACATTAATTAATTTATTAATAATATAATAATAGAAAACTAATCGTGTTTTGTAGAAGTACATTATTGTAGACGTATGGGATAATATAAATCATAAAAACAAGATAAACATAAATATTTACTGCATTGTGAACATCTTACGAATAAATTTTTTTTGCAGCAAAATAATTTTTTCTAATATCTAGCGGAAAACAGATTTGATTGACATTATGAAAATAGCTTTTTTCAGAAATCAATTTTTATGAAAATCAAATTTTTCATTCTAAAATGAAATTTATTCTAAAACTCATCGAAAGATGTTCACAATGCAATAAATATTTATGTTTTTCTTGTTTTTATCTTGATTTATATCATCCAGTACAATGTACGTCTACAAAACACGATTAGTTTCAAATTATTATTAATAAATCGATTAATATTAATTAATCAAAAAAAGATTACAAACATATGACTTGTTCCTAATCATAATTTCCAATTTATAATTTTATCAGAAACTGTAACAGTTTTTATTACAATCTTATTTATGCGTTCATGAATAATAACAACGACAATGAATAATAACATTCATGATGATAACAATGATAATAAATACTTTATAAATAAATGTTTGTTGTAACCACAAAAATGTACGTAAATGTACTATATGTAGCACGATTATATGAATCAAATATCGATTTATCATCTTCAGCCTTGAAAAGTGAACGACTATATAGTTTACATCCATTTTGTCAGAGGGTAATAATGCGCGGCAGCATTTTGTGATTACAGGTTTTAGGTCGTCATGTACTCTTTTAGGTTTTTCTCTGATCTCATTTTACAGTGACGCTGTAAGTTGGAGAGTTACATGACATTTTCCCAAAAAATTAGACTGGAAAATGTCAGTACAAAAACGTCTAGATAACACGATTTTAATTTGTACAGATTAGTAACACTGTGAAGTAATAATACCTAATTCACACTGGATGCAGCAGGCGTTAAGTAGTGGAGCAGCAACCAATCAGTGAGGCGATATTTACAGTGGCGTAAACAATATTGCCTAGCTGATATGTGGCATAATGGTGAATTAGGCATAAGTCCATAAGTTCGTCCATAAGTTCAGTAGTGGTTCATACCACAACTTACTACTTCAACATTACTAAAGCCCGATTGCACTAATGTTACTTTGACTTTAAACAAGGTTTAAAATTATCTCTATCTTGTTTTAAACCAAAAAGAGATAAGGACAAAGAGAATTTTAAACCTCGCTTGAAATTAAAGTCACGTTGATGCAACCAAAGCTATTCTGTACAAATTAAAATCGTGTTGCCTAGAGGTTTTCGTTAGTACCAACATTTTTCCAGTTTAGTTTTTCGTGAAAATGTCATATAACCTAATGGAAAAATTTTTTACTTTTTATTCTAGAAAAAAAGTTTCATAATTGATACCTTGATTATTAATCTAAGCTACGTTCCAAAATGTTCTCTCCGAGGAAGATTTTACTCTATATGCTACAGTATACTTTATGTATACTATATATTTCGAATAAAATTTTTCTCAGAGAGGAAGTTTTGAAACATAGCCCTAACTTAGTAATCGATCGATTATTCCGGATCTACAATAAATTTTTAAACCTTAAATCGTAAAGAATGGACAAATCACAATCATTTATTCTCCTCGCATTCAATTGTAGTTGAAATGGACGAATCACAATCAATTCTTTTTTGGCTATAATTGGTCAATTTCTTATTGCTTAAGTTTAAAATTTGGCCTTAGTCCAGATCTACAATAGGTTTTTTAAGTTTTAAACCGTAAGAAACTGACCAATTACAGCCGAATACCAGAAGAATAATCAATTGTGATTCGTCCATTTCTTATGGCTTACGGCTTAAAAATCTATTGTAGATCCAGGTTTAAGAACGATTTTTACCAAGCTTTGGTTAACCAGTTTACTTTTTACAAGATTCCAACTAAAACTGATGTTGAAGAAAAAATACAAACTGATGAGTTAATACATTTACATTTATATTTATAATTTCTCTCTGCGTTTTTTTTTCGATATATTTTTTAAGGCTTGAACACAATAGGCACAGGCAATAGGGAATAACAAGACAATCAGAGCTCTGATTTTGTTTGACATTATATTCCAGAGCTCTGATTCGACGGTTTGTTATTTCCTGTTGCCTTAGTTGGAACAAAAAGTTTAGTTTCCTACAAAATTACTAGATTGTTAAGTTAACCGAGCTTAGTAAGGCGATATATAGTACTGGACGGGGCATGCGGCGAAATCTCCTTGATCTTTCGTCTTGACGGACCTAGAAAGAATAAAGCGTGGAGCACAGACTCTTACATAATGTATAACATGTAATACGTAAGAAAATGTATCAATCAACGTCCTTCGTTTCTTTTTTTTTTCATAAAAATAGAAATAAAGAACTCAGATTAATTAAATTTTTTATGCATTTCGTGTTATGCGTTATGCAAAAATCTGTGCTCCCCGCTTAAGGTAGCTAAGAATTATGGGCACGGAACTCTTCTTCTACTCTTGTCCTATTGGTCGAATTATGCTTCAAGAGAAAGAAGACAGTAGTAGTATTCAGTACAATAGTAGTTAGTGTATTCTTTAAAGTCAGAAGCCATCACAGATCAATACTGATGATTATCGTACTGCATTAGTACTAAATGCAGTACGATAATTCTAAACTTACATTATTAATTATTAGATACAAAATAAAATTTAAAATATACTAATATTTTCGACACAGCTATCGGAACACAATCAGATAAACGATGTTAACCTATCAGAAATCAGATACATCGGAATACATGGTTTCTAGGTTGAAATTGTTAATTTTTTTATTCCTAATTCCTTATTCCTTTTATTGTGCGCAGGGCCTAAAGTCACCCGAAGTGTCAACCGTGATTGATCAATTCTGCTGAACAGCAAATGCTATTGATAAGTTCCTAGTAAATATAATTTAAGTAAATGTAATAATCGATCGATTAAATTAATCAGAGACCACACAGACCCAAATATAAAAACAATATCAAAATTTAAATTTTCAAAAATCTTTAAAATTCAGAGCTAAAAAGAAACAAGTCAAACATTTTATGAATTATTTTCTTCTATTATAATATTTATATTTTACAAAAAAAATTTCGTTTCATAATAACAAATTAACACCTTTTTATTGCATTATTTAATTCTTAATAATTTATTGTTAAGAATTTTTTATTCTTAACAATTTATCGTTTTATATTCTTAATAATTTATTCGTTTCGTGTATCAGTCATTTATTACATATTCTTTTATTAATGCGAAAAATGGGTTGATAATTCAAGATTTGTCACTCTTATGTGTGCTTAAAACGCGTATACAAAACTTATTTGGCTATACTAGTTTTATTGATTACAGTATTTTTTTATCATTCGTAATGTCTTAATTCAATCCGTGCTATCGATGTAATGCGCAGAAGCTTGAATATCAATTGATTGTGCAAGTTGCAGAATATCATTAGATATTTGTTTCATGCACTGTACATAAATCTTGTTTATAAAAGATTCGGTGTTTATATACACACACGCACACACACTCATACACGAGCGCACACGCACATCTATATAACAGGATATCCATACAACAGATAGTTTTATAAAGTATTGTAACAATATGAATGATATTCAGAAAAAAAAGAGAATAAAGTTGCTTAATGTTGCACTGTCATGTACAAAATGATTCTTCAATACTGAAATTATATGAAATTTTGACACATTTCTTGTATTCTCTTATTTTTCTTATTTTGTTAAAAAGGGGAATTATATTTATCTATATATAAATATGTTGCAGAGTGGAACTAATTTCATATGTCTAACTATCCTATGTCTTTTATAAGTTTTAATCAATAGCAGGCTTAGTTCGTCTACGATGATGATTTCGTGCTAATGCATGAATAATGGTCACTAAGAAATAACAAATCATTAACGCTACAAATTTGTCAAACAACCATGATATTGTAGTCGCTCCTTCCTACAAAAAAAAAGGTTTATTTTAAATTAGGTACATATTGTGCATTTATATCTTCTAAAACTAATAACTTACCATAGACGATTTATCATGTAACTTTTGTTTCTGTGCAATGAAATATTTCTTTAATGGTTCTTGGAATTTTGTACCAACAAACGGCACGATTGCTAATAAGCTAATAAATTTATCTAAGAGTTCTTCATTGAAGGCTATGATCACTGCTAATTGCTGTATGTGCATTTTAATAACAGCCTTTCCCAGAAGGGTTGCGCCAAAGAACCTCCAGAATGGAATGAGATAATGTCCACATGTCAAACCAGCTAGGTCAAACAATGGATTTGGAATCTGCAAAATTTTGTTATAATATATTCAACATGAAAAAGATAAACGATATTAAATAACTGCTTAAAAAATCTTTTATATATATAAAAAAAATTTACTTATGTACATACCGATGCACAAGCTAGTATGCCCCAAAATCCAGCTTTTTCAACAAATCGCTTCATATTTAATTTAATACGCATTACAAACGATACGTTCTCTCCATTTTCTAAGGCTTCCAAAGCCTCCAATTCTTTCAGATCTTCTTGATCGAAATTTTCATTCTTATTATTCTTTCTACTCATTCTTGCAGCTCTGGCCATAAAATATGGCGGTAACTCACCAAGTGCAGTACCAGCTCCCCACAGCATGGCCTCTACATGTACTTTTTTCATGATATTTAATATACCTACTGTCCACATTGGATCAATCTTTGTCGGGCATATTATTTGATCAGGATATGGTGGTTCAGGAAAGTTTAGAGCACCGCATTCATATGCTGCCATAGTAACAGCTGCTATATGTGGTCCTAAGTATAATACAAAGGTATGCAAACCTGTCCCGAGACCTACACTTGATAATACACCTAATCCTACCCAATATAACCACCATATAATTTTGGCTTCCCACAATTTAAAAATCTGAAAATAAAACGAATACATTACTTTACATTAATCTAAATAATCAAATAACAAATAAAAAATTAATCTTTAATTAACGTAATTGTACATATTATCAATCTTTTCTTGAAATTTAATTTTCAAAACTCTTCTACTTTTAATTCACTTATGATTTAAAAATAATCAAATTATTCTGATTCAAGATTTTTTAGAAAATAAATTGTGGTTGAAAGAGAAAGCTACGAATCAAAGCTAGTTGTTAATTGCTAATACTTAGGCCCAGTTCCATAACTCACGGTTAACTCTTAACCGAAATTCAACTTGTTTCTCATCTCTTTCTGATTTTAGAATTGGAAAGGGACAATGAATAAACTGAACCTCGGTTAAAAGTTAACCGTGAGTTGTGGAACTGGGCCTTAATCTATATTCCAAATCCTATCGCTATAAACATTTAAATGTTTCCACTTTCATTAGGTCATTTTCAATGTAACTTATAAAAATTACAATTGAAAAATAAAAATAAAAATAAAAAAGTCGCAATATTGGTTGTATAATAATTTCATGATTAAATATAAAAATTGAGTAAAAATTGTCACATGATTAAACGTTAAAAATTGTTTGAATTTAAATAAAGTAGAATAAGATTTGTCACATTATTAAAACGTTTTATGATCCGCATGATCATGTGACAATTTTTACTCAATTTTTATATTTAATCATGGAACTATTATATAACCGATATTGCGACTTTTTTTTTTTTATTTTCATTTTTCAAAATTGTAATTTTTATAAATAACACTGAAGATGATCTAATGAAGGTGGAAACGTTTATATGCTAAATGTTAGGATTTGAAACATAGATATTAATTATTAATATTAATTATTAGCAATTAACAATTAGTTTTGACTCGTAGTCTTTCTCTCCTTTAACAATTTATGATTTAAAGTTTTGGACATTTTTAAAAGTCGACTAATTAAATGAAAAATAATCAGGAAAATATTAAACAGAAATATAGGCAAAAATAAGAATTCTGTTAACACATATCTAGAATTATAAGTAATCTAATGTACCTCTTGTTGGGGACCAGAAATTCTGCTTGATAGAAGAAATAATATTATAATTGAAATCATAGCGCATACAGTCTGTTTGTAGAGCAATGTTTTCTTCATTAAACTAAGCACATTAATAATTGCTTCACTAAAAAAGTAACGTAAAGTTGTAATTGGATGTTGCCAGAGTGTTAAGTGATCTGAATCCAAATTTGAAACACTATGTGGATGGCTTGAATTATGTTCCATCGCTGGAGTGGATATTCTTTTTCCAGCACTTCTTTGAGCTCCATTAGTGGAAACTTGATCTTTTGAACGTTGAATGGCAGTAGAATTACCCAGCATGGTATTTTCTAAATTAATCTGTGAACAAAGAATATAATGTATTAACAAAGAATGTGACGCAGACGCACACGTATTAATAACAACTTATTTAATGATAGCTTATGTATCTTTCAAACATTAGTATTTTTATACGTAATTTAAGAAATATGCATCTCATAAATTCTTTCTTACAACATAAATAAATATTTATTATCTAACAAGTTCCTATATAATCACATAAATAAAATAATATAATAGAAAATAAAGTTCTTTAATTCTTTATGATAGAAAACATTTTATAATTTACTCCAGTTATGTTAGTATCAGTTTCAATATTTATAATTATATATGTAGAATCACATTGTTTAAATTCACAAATCTTATCCATTATATAACTTTAAGGAGTTATTCAGTGCAAGCACAAGAATATGAATTCTAATATTATTGTAATAAATATAGAGAGTATCATATATAATGAAAAGAATTATAAGAGACCTTGACACTATCAGTACAAAATATGGCAGATGAGTTACTATAGATCAAAGGTCAAATAGTTATCCAATATAAACATAAATTGCTTTCTAGAATTACTGTTCTTTTTGGATATAATAGACAAGAAAATTTATCGTTGTTACTAATAAATGTTTTAGTTAATAATTGTCTTAAGAAATTTATTCTACAATTAAAAGAAGAAAAACTAAAAAATCAATATAAATAAAATCTTATAACACCATGCAATCGCTGTTTTATATTCTATATGACTAATTGTAATGTCATTTAAATACTTTTACTACATATTCCTTAGTTAATACTTGCTCTGCGAGATAAAAATTGTGAATGTCAACTTTCATTAATGTTTACACAAAACAAAAATTAGAGAATCTAAACTAGAATGCAAATAATTCTCCTAAGTATCATATCTGTAAGGTTATGTACTCTTATTGTAAATCCAATACATATAAATGGAGTTTATTTTAAATTACGAGAAGTTAAAACATTGAAATAAAAAAAGCTTAAATTCTATTCTATTATTTCTTACAATATGGAAGTATATATCATAGATTTTAATACAAATAGGATAAACGATGATATTGAGCTATTAACAAATTTTAAATTTTATAATGATAATCAATTAATTGGCAAATTGTTCATTGTTTTGTTATACATTTCATATTAGTTCAATATCACATTACACTTCATACTTGCAATTATCACGCTCAATTATACCTAAGCATATTGCTTATCCATTGTACATTAAAGTACACTAATTATCGTGATAATTGCCCCGAAAATTGTAGGCTCATGATAAAAGCTCGCTAAACTATGTAATGTTCCGATTGAATTTCAACATATTGTAATCGAGAAAGAACAATATCTCATAAATTTCATACGAGAACATATTGATATATTTTACAATTCCAATCCTCGAAATTTTCATTATCTTTCATGATCGATTTTCTTTAGTATAACTACATAAAGCAATAAAATTATTTCGCGTAAATGAATTACCTTTTCAATTTTAAGATCTTATTTACGATATATGTACATTCAGGAGATCACACAGTACGATGACTTTTTTTCCTATATCATCGTGGGGAGTGAAAGGGAGTATTAAACAATTTTAATACAAGTCTTGTGAGGTTTCCCAACCTTTGCACCGTTTATCACGATTAATTACTGTCAAATCACTTATGACGTGACCACTTACACATATGTACATATGCATACATGCGTGTGTACATATACATATGTACATACAATATTTCTGAAACATATATACGTTACACGTATAATAAATATGTCAGAAACGTATCACCACGCGACATAAATATCACATGAGCGCAATGAAGCGTAACGAGCAACTCAGGGAAGGGGGAGAGAGGGATTTCTCTTTCACTTCTCCACCTTCAATATAAATATCTGTCCTTTTTCATTATTTCCCCTCCTTTCACTCTTTTTATTCAATTTCTTTTTATGTCAAAGAGATACGTAAAAAGTTCCTTCGACCATCCTCTTACAGATTTATTAAAATTCTACATATGGCATTTGTCTAGAAATTATCGTTTAATCTTGCAATTCTTCGAATAAAATCTCGAGAATTTCGAGATCTTTTCGAAATATTTTTGAAGGTCTTAAGTTCTCACGTGGAGCATTTGAAGAACTGCAAATGAGATCTATGAGTACAGAAGCATCTCATTTGACCACGTAGCGATTGATCACACCATTCAGAGCAACTGAAACTTAAAATTTTTCTACTGGATCGACCAATCAGGAGATTAAATTACAAATTGGCCAATTGGCAACGTGGACAATCGAATATCACTCACATGTGAGATATTGAAATTAATTATTAGAAAGGTGTGGGAAGAGAACTTATTACAGTTTATTAGACAAAGTGAAAATTACAAAAATGAGCAAACTCACTAGGTATTAACCAATGAAGTTATAAATATTCTAGTAAATTCCACTTTCGTAATTTTCTCGTTTCAAGAACCGTAATAAGCCCCCTGGGAGTCAATTCTATATCTTTAAACAAAATAAAAATTACAAGTGAGCAAATTTACTAAGTGTTGACCAATGAAATTATCAGTATTCTAGTAAATTCGCTCTCTTTTATAATTTTCATCTCGTTTCAAGAAACCGATTCAGAATCAATTCCCTGATATTTAAAAATAAACATCGCTTACTAAAGTCTTTAGAAAATACACATGAGCGCAATAAAGCGTAATGAGCAACTCAGGGAAGAGGGAGAGAGAGATTTCTCCTTCACTTTTCCACCTTCAATATAAATATTCGTCCTTTTTTATTATTCTCCTTCCTTGCTCCTCCTTTCTCATTTTTTATTCAATTTCTTTTTATGTCAAAGAGATACATAAAAAGTTCTTTGACCCTCCTGTTTATTTTCCAGATTTAAATGTATTTTTCAATGGAATATATTTTTTTCCATTGAAATATATAAATTCTTCTTTACAAAGAAATTCCTTAGGGCCGATTTCACCAACATCGATCAAGCTTAATTATGATTAACTGTCAATCGCAATTGGTCAATTCTACTACGCGATTGGTTAATCAACAGCTAATTAAAGCTATGTTCCAAAATTGACTGTCAGCACTAAAAATTTATAGTGCATGTGAAGTAAATTGTAGCATTTTCAGTGCTGGCAGTAAATTTGGAACACATTCGCACGGCGGAAGTTAGCGCGGTAACCAATCAATTTACTTGCTCGGAAGTAATTGATATATAATTTTCACCGCGCGACAAAAGTTGGATTGAGTTCAACTTTTGTCGCGCGGCGGAAGTAATATTACATCATTTCTAAAAGTTTTGCATCGTAAGGCCGACTTAAAACATAGAATTATTGTTTAGTGCAATAATTTCCGCCACACAGTAAGCGTTACTGCGTTCTGTGTGCAGGAGTTATAAAGCTGAAATCAGACTACGCATTGAAGATGGAGAATAAAAATTAAAGATTAAAATTTGACCTATGAGGACAAAGAAATTTTAGCTCTTATTGTTTTTATTGATCAAATTTTAATCTTTTAGTCTTCAATCTCAATCTTTAATGAGTAGTCTGATTCCGATCTAATTCCAATTGTTATTTCGCTTAATAACAAATGCAATTGGGCAATTCCAATGGACCAATCGTCGATCAAAGAGTATGGTTCACTTGACGTTACCAATGCTTTGAAGCGTTTGATTGACCAATCAGAAGAAAGAATTTTACTATTAACCAATCAAAAAATACTTCAAAACTAGATAGCAACGTTCATTTTTCTTAGGGTACATTGTCCACTTTTCAAGATTGAAGATGATAAATCGATATTTGATTCAAATAATCGCGTTACATATAGCACAATTATATGAACCAAATATCGATTTATCTACAGCCTTGAAAAGTGGATAATGTATCCTAAGAAAAATGGATGTTGCTATATAGTTTACATTTACTTAGTCAGAACGCAGTAGTGCGCGACAGCATTTTGCAATTACAGATTTTGTGCCGTCATGTCCTCTCTCAGGTTTCTCTCTTGTGCATAAACATATGCGTAAAGAAAATTATCCATTACATTTCTCTTATAAAATCACATGTAAAATGTAATTGGATTTTCTTTATGCATACGTTTATGCGATTGTGCAAGTTTGTTTGGATATATCCTACGGCCAATAAAAACACTTCCTATGTCGTTATGTACAAGATAGCGAATTTTAATCATTGCGCAGAACGTAACGTGACAAAAATGTATCCGAAAAATGAGCATATCTTTAGGGATTCCGCACAATAAAAGAAACAGGGAACAAAAAACAGAGAATAAGAATTTTAACCTATCAGAAATCATGTATTGTGGAATATACAGTTTCTCATAGATTGAAAGTCTGATTCTATGTTATTTGTTCTCTGTTCCTTTTATTGTGGCGGAGCCCCTTATATGTACTTCTACTACAGCCTAAGTACATACAGTATGGACACTGAACTTTTTATGTGGTTCACTTCAATTTTTAATGCGCATGCGTCAGTTTTCAATCAGGAAAATGACCTTCAGTAAGTTGAAATTGTAGATTAGGCTAGGTTACTTGGATCTCCTTCCTATAAAATATAATTAATAAAATTAAGTTTTACTAAAAAATTAAATTAAATTTTTTCAGAGACACTATATTGTATAGACTGTTATATTTTTTTGTATACGATAAAGTATTCTCGTAATAAAGTATGCATTTGTGTACGTATATTATTAAATTATAACTTCACATTTAATTACAATTTTTATGCATTATATTATTTTTTCACACATAATTATTTAATTACAATTTTCATATAGTATTTAATCAATTATTATTTTTAGTTTATTTATTACTGTTTAATATTATTATTATTATTGTAAATATTATTTTTATATAATGAGTTTGTTAACATTATATTATTATAAAAT